CAGCCCACTCCTGCTGCGGATCCTGTCCCCACGCCTGCATAGCTGTGAAGTTCAACTGTCTCTTCTGCTCCTAAGGTGCCAGAGAACAGCCTCAGCCTCTATGCCTCCCTTCAGGACACTCAAATGGCTTTACAAGTAGGGACAGCGAAGCAAGCCTCCTGGGTTATGCCATATTTGAACTCACAGCATTCATCCCCTAAATCTAAGCCAAGTCACTCACCTAGACAAAAGAGAAAGCAGCTGAGAGGCAAGGTCAGGGGAAAGGGAAGAGCTGCGCAACCTACAGAGAAGAGGGGAAAAGAGGTAAGGAAAAAGATGAGAGCAATGTTCTCTATCCTGGATGAGAAACAGACGAGAACACAGGGTAAGGAGGGAAGGAAGGAAGGACCTTCCTCCCAGAGCTCATCCTTCCCGGGTAGAAGCCTTAGTCTTGGGTTTTCCTCCGCAGGGCTACAGTTTGCTCCAAAACTGTGCTCTGTGCTCCCCCTGCTGGCTCTGACGTAGCGGCCAGCTTTAAAACAACTCCAGTGAAATGCCAGCCCCCGGTGGCCCTCAAGAATGTTCGCCACCTCTCTGAGATTTGGCTATCCTTTCCAGCAAGGATGGGGACTCAACTTTTCCTCTATTGTTTTTTAAATGGCGTTAGAGGAGGATGGTTGATAAATCACGGTACTTCACTCTGTGACATGCAGCCACCTAAATTGTACCCACCATGGTGTAGTGTCCTAGGCATTAAAAAGATTGGGATCCTTGCTTCTACTCTTAGAAACTTACTAGTTAAAAGGGAGAGGCTGACATATTCTAAAAAAAAAAAAAAAATAGGTAATTTCTATTACATGTACCTTAAGTGATGGGCAGATATGATCACTGCAAGTGTGAAGAAGTAACTCACATAGGCCAGGACAGGCTTCAGGCAACAGTCATCTCTTTGGGCAGATTGGTTGCAGGGCTGTGTAAAATCCTAACATTAGCAGCTACCCATTCTGATGCCTACAGGAGCAGTCACAGACACTCCAGTCTGTTTTATGAACTAGTCAGGGATGACATTTGGAGAAGTCAAGGCCACACAGCTAGAAAGTAGCAAAGTCAGGATACAAAGTCAGAGCCCACTTCTTCCGATGCTGCCCTGAAATCCAGTGTCAAGGAGGAGGAGCAGGAAACCTAGCTTCAAGCCAGGGCCAGCTCTCAGGTTGCCAGTGCCTTCTCTCTCTGGGTCTTTTCTCTATCTATAAACTAAGGAGTTGGGTAGGATCATTCCTAGGGTCTAACTGACCTTAAAAGGACCAGTGAGATGTTCAGGCAAGGTCTAGTCACCAAGTCTAACAACCTGAGTTTGATCCCAGGGACCCACATGAAGGAGGAAGGGAACCAAGTTCCAAAAGTCATCCTCTGGCCTCCACACCTCTCCCTCTCCCTCTCCCTCTCCCTCTCCCTCTCCCTCTCTCTCTCTCTCACACACACACACACACAAAGAATCATACACATGCACCACTAAATAAACAAATAACTAAATGAATGTAATTATTTTAAATAAATGTAATTATTTTAAAGACTCTATGGGCTAGAGAGATGGCTCAGTGGTTCAGAGCACTTATTGATCTTGCAGAGGACCCAAAGGACCCAGGTTTCATTCTCCAAACCCAACTGGGTAATCCCAGCAGTCCTCCAGTGAGATGGAAGATAGAAACAGGAAAAATCACCGGAAGCTCCATGGCCAGCTAGCCTGGAGTATGCAGAGCAAAAAAACAAGAGAGACCCTGACTAAACAAGATGGAAGAGAGAATCACCTCCCAAAGTTGCCCTTTGACCTCCACATGAACACCCAGCACATGGGCACACATACACCAAAGAAAATAAAATAAAACGTAAGGAAATAAAATGCCTTTTTTTTTGGGGGGGGGGTGAGACAGGGTTTCTCTGTGTAGTTTTGGTGCTTGTCCTGGGAACTCGCTCTGTGGACCAGGCTAGCCTTGAACTCACAGAGATCCACCTGGCTCTGCCTCCCAAGTGCTGGGATTAAAGCCGTGTGCCACCACTGCCTGGCATAAAATGCCTTTTTAAAGCATTCCACACTTGAGCCTACCAGGTAACCAAAAGCAGGATCCAGCCTGGGTTTCTGCCTTCATTTCCTTCACTTTGGGTCCCCTGCTTACCCCTGCACAGAGACTCAAGCAGCGTCTGTCTAAAATCTGGTGATCAGAAGAGGCATCAGATCCCCTGGATCAGATCATTGTGAACCACCTATGTGGAAAAAGCAACAAGTACTCTAAACCATTGAGCCAATGCTACAATTCCAATTTTATGTCTAGTATTGTAATCCGGTCAAAATCCCATAGCTAGGGAAGTCATGGGCTCTAGAGTAGAAACTTTTGTTACTTTGCTAAATGGTCATGCTCTCAAAATGCCTTCTAGATACTTGAGTTCATACCCGTTGACCTGGGCTGCTCTTAACCTTGGTCAGAGAATGTTCTTTTTGCAATAGGCAGGAATCAATGGAGAGATACATAACTGAGAATAAGAGACTGAGTGTGTTCAGTCCTAAACCAGACATCTATATCAACCTCCCCCCAAACCAAGAACATCGCAGAAGAGAGAAGGGGGAAAAAAGAATGTAAGAGCCGAAAGACGAGGAGGAGTGCTGTGGAGCGTGCCGTCTTCCGGACACGCCATGGCTATTACACTCATGGACTCAGAGCGGATAGTGTTGGCTGCGCAAGAGACTGGATAGATAGATGCCTCAAGACCTCCCTTCCCCCTTTACCAGGGAGCTGATGGCGGTGGAGCGGTTCATTCATTTTAAGGATGTAGCCTCTGGTAGGATTCAAATATGCCAGTTTATGGCCCCACACCCATGCACACTTGGGAGTGGGTGATTTCTAAAAAATGAAGTTGGAAGGGAGATGTATTGAGGGAGGTCCAGGGAGAGCTGGAGTGAGGAAAGTGAAGTTATATGTGGTCACATTTCATTGTACACTGTGGTGATACATTGTGTACCCCAATAAAGCTTGCCTGAAGATCAGAGATTAAACTAGATTAAACCTAGAGGCCAGGCAGTGGTGGTGCACACTGTTAATCATAGCACTCGGGAGGTAGAGATCCGTCTGGCTCTCTGTGAGTTCAAAGCCACCCTGAACTACATAAGATTGACTCAGTCTAGGAGAGAAACAGAGCCAGGCAGTGGTGGCACACACCTTTAATTCCAGTACTTGGGAAGCACACACACCTTTAATGGCTGGGCGGAGAAAGGTATATAAGGCGTGAGGACACAGGAACTAGAAGTCTTTTCAGGCTGAGGAGTCCTAGAGGTAAGATGTGGCAGTGGCTTGTTCCTTTGTCTTTCTGATCTTTCAGCATTTACCCCAATACCTGTTCCCCGTTTTTATTAAAAGACCATTTTAGATTTCATAAAATAGTACACATATGTGAAATTCTCAAAAACCAAAAAGGAACTCTCATTAATGTACATATCACAAACCAGAATGGTGCAATACAATATCCAGTGTACACTAGTATTTTGCAAAACTGCTTCATTTAAACTCATCTCCATTAATATAGATCAGGATACTGAGTCTCCAAAAAGTTCTACACAGTAAAGGCAAAGAGTACTCCCACTCACCTTTTCTCTTGGATTTAATTTCCTTTTTCTCTGCCATCTGACTTATATTCATTCCCACCCATCTTTTACAGATTCCATCCACTTAAACATCCTTTCTTTCCCCACACCTGGGGAAAGCCAATAGTCTCTAAACCAGTGCTTCTCAACCTTCCGAATGCTTCAACCCTTTAATACAGTTCCTCAGGTTGTGAGGATCCCCAACCATAAAATGATTTTCGTTGCTACTTCCTAACTGTAAGTTTGCTTTTGTTAAGAATTGTAATGTTGGGCTGGAGAGATGGCTTAGAGGTTAAGAGCACTGCCTGCTCTTCCAGAGGTCCTGAGTTCAATTCCCAGCAACCACATGGTGGCTCACAACCATCTGTAATCAGATCTGGTGCCCTCTTCTGGCCTGCAGTCATACATGCTGTATACATAATAAATAAATAAATCTTTAAAAAAAAAAAAAGAATCGTAATGTCAATATTTTTGGAGGTATGGATTTTTAGAGGGGTTGAGACCCACAGGTTGATAAGCACTGTGTGGGAGCGTTCCCTTGGATGCTATGAACATTTGTGTCACATCACGCACAGATCTCACAGATCACTGGAGACTAGCATCTGTCCAGCGTGTGCTTTTCTGTTTACAGTTCTAGAACAACTCAGAGATGACCTTCATCCCCACCCCACCCCGCCGTCGCCAACCAAAGGCAGGCCGTGCACAAAACGTTCCACTGATGCTTGCTAAATTTATTAGTGTGAGGCGCGCGCATGAGTGTGTGTGTGTGTGTGTGTGTGTGTGTGTGTGTGTGTGTGTGTGTGTGTGTGTGTGTGTGATTTGTGTGAGATTTGAGGAATCTTCCAAGGTTGTTCTCTACATTTTTTGAGACCAAGACTCACTCACTGGGCCTAAAGCTTATCAATTCATGTAGGCCAATGAGTTTCAAGGATTCACCTGTCTCCACCACTCCCACTCCTACAGGGGGATACACGCCCCAGCCACTATGCCTTTTCCTTTTTCTTTTCTTTTTGTTTTTCTCTTCTTTTTTTAATTTTTTTAATTTTTTTTTTAACGTAGGTTCTGGGGATCCGAACTCCGATTTCCGTGGGGGATATTTTTACCTACTCCCATCTCGGCAGCCAGAGTTAAGTGTATTCCAAAACCAAGTCTTCATTCCCCCGTGCCCTAGATTGTGACTGCATCCTACGTGGGGAAGACCCGGGCTGTTACACAGCTCTTCAATGGTTTTACGGACGCCCTGGAGGACAGAGACCTCACCAAGCCGCAGCATTTTCAGAGACTGCACCTCGCCAGCTCCCAGGCCCTGGGCGGGGGGCGGGGGGTACCCACGGGTGGTCCCGCCTCCTCCCCTGCCAATCAGCCGTTCCTCGCGCCTGCGCGGAGCGGCGCCCGGGCTGCGGCGGGCGAGCGGTTAGAACGGGGAGCCGTGCTCGCCCGGGCCTGCGGGCTATGACGATCACCTACAGCTGCGTGGCTCATGGCCGAGCGGTCCTGGCGGAGCTGGCCCTGACCGGCGGCTCCTATCAGGTACCTCGGCGTCGGAGGGTTCGGCTCCTCGAGGCTGGCGCCCGCGGGGCCTCCCCTCGGGACGCGAGGCGACCTCGGAGGACTCTGGGGTCGGGAGGCCCCGCGCGTGCGCCGCCCAGGGGTTCGGCCTGGTACTGCAGGCGGGCGGCAACCGGCGGGGATGTAGAGCCGGCTCTCCAGCTTGACCGCGGAGTAACCTGCAGCTCCGCACATGCTTCGTGAACACGCAGTGGTTGCAGAACCCCCGAGTGAGGAAAGCGAGGGAGGGCCACCCTGACAGCGCTGCTTGGCGTCCCAGTGCTCAGGGTGGGAGGGCCATGGATTTGAGGTCAGCATGGACTACACAGACCTGCTCCCAAAAAAAGGGAGAGCGGGGAGCGTAGGGCAACGTTAGAGCACTTGCCTAGAACATGTGAGGCCCCGAGTTCAGTCCCCAGCGCGCACACACACGCACACACACACACACACACACACACACACACACACCTCCCCTAAAACTTGTCAGATGTCATCTAATATTGTGTCTGGACCTTAGAACCCTACAGTTGTCCCAGAGGGTAAAATGTGTTTCACTGCAGATAGATAGGCTGTAATGCCCCTCCCTGTACAGAGAGCTACTAACCTAACACAGGAAAGGGGAATGAAGAAGCCACAGAGAAAACAGCGTGGTAGCTGGAGATTTCCAAGAACCTCGTGGTGGCTAGGGCACAGAGTCTCTTTGCAGTGGCTAGAAAACTGGCAGATAATAATAAAGGGTGTGTGTGTGTGTGTGTGTGTCCATCCTAGAGAAACTGGGGAGCAATTAAAGATGTACAAATGAAAGCACAGGCAAAGATGACTTGCTTACTACATACAGGGCGGGTTGGAAAAGAAAGAACCCATTAAGAGGATATGGTTGTAGTTTATAAACAGACTCAAGGCTCTGAGCTAAGGCAGTCGTGGTACAGGTGTCCAGGAGCGGCAGCCCTAGAAGAAGCTTGGTAAATGCCCTCTAGCGTTGGCACCTGGTAGACTATGTGGAGTGAGGGGAGATTCTCACAATGTTTTTCTTTGGTGGCATTAAACAGGGAGAATATATATAGAGAGAAGGATAGGATTTAGGGGACTCGAGGCAATGCAGAAGGAAGGCTACATTACAGTTTAGAACATGCTGGATTGCCGGACGGTGGTGGCGCACGCCTTTAATCCCAGCACTCGGGAGGCAGAGGCAGGCGGATCTCTGTGAGCTCAAGGCCAGCCTGGTCTACAGGGCGAGATCCAGGACAGGCACCAAAACTATACAGAGAAACCCTGTCTTGAAAAAACAAAAAGAGAAAGAAAAAAAATTCAATACATTGTACATGTTTACTTTTCTGCCTTATTTCTGACAGCCAGAATCGGCCCAGGAGGTCCTGAGTGTTTGTCTGGGACCCAAAAGGCTGGGTCTGGCAGATGAAATAAGAGAAGTGTGTAAGGCCGCCCAGGAAGTGTACAGTGAACGGAGGGAAAGGAGAGGGTGAAGCGGTGGGTTGGGGTCACTGGGTCAGACAGCAGGCAGGTGACTGTCCGCCGTCCTGCCAGGCCTTTAGAAGAAACAGTAGAGGCAGCAGCCAGATGGCCTCGGGCCGGCTGAGCGGGAGATGAGACCACTCTGTCTGAAATCTAGGTAGGAAATGAGGAAGAGTGGAAGCGGGAAGGGTCCTCGTTCGTTGATGGACAGAGACATCCCCACATGGGTTACCCTTGTGGAAGGGATATGTGTGGGACAGGTGGGGGCTGTTAGCGGAGCAAGGCCTGAAGGGCACAAAGGGCCAGCAAGAGAGGCCTGAGCCTTGGTCAGGGAACAGCCTCTTGCCCTGAGGAGAAAGAGGGGGTGTGGGTGTGGGGCATCCCTTCAGCCTCCTGAAGTCCTTCTCCTGGCCAATCCCTTACACACTGGGATTCCTTCTTAGCTTCACATAGACATTCACACCTGTGACATCCGTCCGCTTTCAGAATTGGGTGGCCTCATAACAGACAAAACTAAGTTTCCTTCCCACAGGTTTTTCCTCATGTGCTTCCTATCTCGTTGGGTTTCCCTATTGAGACATTCGGGGTGCGGACTAGGAGTCACCCGCCATCATTTCTCCTTTTCACCTTCCATCTGTTCGTCTCTCACCTGTATGTTCTCTCTTTCCGAACCATGTTTTCCTCCCAGCCCTAATTACTTCCCACCAAGCTAACTGAAGTGACTTGTCTACCTCAAAGGCTGCTCACGTGATCATTCCCCCAAAATACCTGCAATGGTGCCGCTCTCCCACACACCGCGTTTGGTGGCCTCTGATTACATTCAGAATAAAGCGAGCACTCCTCCCCTGGGCAGTCGGCCCCTCCCTGTCCCCTGCTGTCCCAAAGTTCATGCTGCTCTCACACCACGACCCCCAAGGTTGTCTCTCTTCCTTACCCCTCTACCTGGAGACCGCTTTTCTCCACTTTGAGGCACTCTCATCTATCTGTCCTTTGAAAGTTTTCTCGCTTTTTCCTCCACTCTGTGCCTACACTGACTGGCATCTCTCTGCCAGACACCTTGACCAAGCTGAACTGGAGTCTTCCTTGCCTTGCTGTCTCTGCTGTCAGATTTCAGGACGGGGGATGCGTCATCTCTGTCTCTCCCCAGTCGAATACAAAGCCTAACACACAGTGAGTTCTCAGCACGCCTTATTAAGAGGAGGGAGCAGTCAGAGGTCAGCAGAAGTCAAATGGCCTCCCTTTGGAAGCACACTGGTGGTAAGAACACAGGAGAGGGAGCAGTCTGCAATCCAGGAGTAAATTACAGGTGCAGGATGCCTGCTGTATGAAAGGCTAACCAGAGAAGGGAAAATACAGCCTGGAGCTTTAAGAGACGGTTAGGACGAGAAGGAAAGAAATGTATCATGGCTTCCCTCGGTGCCTAAGATATTCTCCCTCCCAACCCCCCGCCCCTCTCTCTCACACACATTCACATCACAGGAGCCAGCCACTGTTACAGGTTCTGGGTTAGACTGGACTCTGGGAGTCCCATGCTCACAATCTTCATTCTTCCCCAAAGGACACAGGCCCAGGCAGGTCAGCGGCTCCGCAGCATAGGACTGTCCAAACACAAGAGCCCACGTTGTCACATGCGGGGTCCCATGTTGTCATTTGTTTTCAGTCTGGCTGTGATAGCATAGTTTATATTATGCAAAAGAGGCCCTTGGGGGAAGCTACAGAAGTGTGTTTCATTACTTATAGGAAAGCAACAGAAAATAATTTTTCAAGTGTCTTAGGAAATTCTGTCCCAGAGAATGTCTCCTTGACGTGGCAGGCTGTGGCAATTACTTTCTACCACTAATAGGCTTTACGTGCCCATAAAAGTTTCTCTTTGAAGTGTTAGTTTGTGAAAAATGAATGTTAATTAGGAGTGTGACTATCTGGGACTTTTTTAGGTAACTCTCAGATTCCTTTCATGCTTCTAAATTAAAATAATGGGATTCCACTAATGGACTACAAGGTGTTCTGCATAATTATAGTACCTTAAATTTCTCCCCCAGGACTCACCCTTACAAGGAGTAGGCAGGCACAAGTGTTCTTGGCAAATGTTACTTTGTAAAGAGAGAGAGTGGACTGGTGAGGTGGCCTGGTGGGTGACGGCACTTGACCTGAGTGAGATCCCGGGGACCCACCTAAAGGTAGAAGGTGAGAGCCGACTCCCAGAAGTTGCCTCTGAACTCCGCCTGAGAGCCACTCAGAGTCACAGGATGCACCCCACAGACACATACAGATAATAAATGAATTTTAAGTATTGATGGAACAGTTATGAATAAGGGTTTGCTGGATGTACTCAGAGAATAAGAGATGAATGTTCTTAATCTATTAACAGTTTGTTTATAGTCTGGGACCAAGGGGTGGCTCGGTGGATAAAAGCACTTGCTATGTAAGTGCAGAAACCCAAGTTCAAATCCCCAGGACTCAGGTAAAACCAGACACACAGCTTGAGAACATCTGTAATCACAGTGCTCCTGTGCAGAGATGGGAGACAGAAGCAGAATGCCCAGAAGCTCGTGTGTGTCTCTGACACACCTGCTGCGGTATTCACATACACGTACAACTTGTGTGTGTGTGTACACCTGTATGTATGAGAGGTGTGTGCTCACATGTATGTGTTCAGAGGCCAGAGGAAGGCATCAGGAGTCCTATCACCACACCTTATTCTTTTTGAGGCAGGGTCTCTCCCTAAACTTGGAGTTCGAGTTTTTTTCAGCCAGGTTGGCAGCCAGCAAGCCATAGGAGTCCCCCTTTCTTCCTCTTTGCACCCCAGCACCTTTATGGGCACACCTGGGGTCATTCCTGGCTTCCAACAGGAATACCGGGATCTGAATTGGGGTCCTCATGTTTGCACAAGGGCTCATGACAAGTGAACCATCTCTGCAGCCCCAAAACATTTTACATACAGTTTTTCTCAGCTGACTGACATTAGAAAGATACTTGAGGGGTTGGGGATTTAACTCAATGATAGAGCACTTGCCTAGGCCCTGGGTTCGGTCCTCAGCTCTGTGGGGTGGGGATGCGGGAGAAAGACAAGCTAGTTGATTGGCTCTGCTTCCCAGCCTTAAAGCCAAACATAAGATCTCCATATAAAGATAAGGCTATCTAGTGCAGGCTATATTCATGTGCTTACATATTTTATGTAACGTAGTTTCCTTTAATTCATGCAATTTTTTTTTTTTTTTTTTTTTTTTGGTTTTTCAAGACAGGGTTTCTCTGTGTAGTTTTGGTTCCTGGAACTCACTCTGTAGACCAGGCTGGCCTCGAACTCACAGAGATCCGCCTGGCTGTGCCTCCCAAGTGCTGGGATTAAAGGCGTACGCCACCACCGCCCAGCTTCATGCAAATATTTTATGGCATCTTGCCTCTGATCACTCATGAGTCATACCAGTTAGTTCTCTTAGAAAAGGGGTTTTTCTTAATAAACCAATCAGAACATTGGTAATTTTAGGAGGAAAATACTGAAGAGACATGACAATCTTCTGCAAAATAAACGCTGACTTTTTCCCCAGGAAGCAGCGGCAAAGGTACTCAGGCAAGTGCTTCTGAAAGCCGAGCCAGCGACCATAATTCAAATAGGAAGGTAAGGGAGCGCTCTCGTGGGTCTCCTCTTCACTGAGGTTCCGGCTAACAATTCCAATGACGACATGAGGAGAAGAACAGTCACTGTGCACACCAGTGTCTGGCCTCACCAGAGGGAGGAAAGGATAGCGCGATGAATGGGAATGATAGCTACTGAATTCAGGGTCATGGCTACCTGTGCAGGCAGAAGGGAGGAGCCTGCAATGCAGATGGTGTGTAGTGACATCAGTGTATCAGCAGCGTCCTAACTGGACAGTGGGGCTGAAAGAGGGTCCTGTTATTCGTCAGAAAAAAGAAACTACTTTAAAATATATTTAGTCTTATCAAGAAGAATGGCCACTGTAGTTAAATTTTACTTGAATATTACATATATTCTACACCAGTCTTGAAACCCTAGTTCAGAAACAGGTGGGTGAATCGAGAGCATTTGTTATTTTAGGTTGGTTGTTGGTGGTGGTGGTGTTTGAGACAGGGTAGCCCAGGCTAGCCTTGAACTCATGGCAATTGTCATGCCTCAGCCTCCCCAGTGCTAGAAGTACTGGTGTGGGTCACCATGTTTGGCCAGTCTTTCATGTTCTTTTTTGTTTTGCTTTTGGTTTTGTTGTTGTTGTTGTTTGGGCTTTTTTGGTTTTTGAGACCGAGTTTCTCTGTGTAGTTTTGGTTCCTGTCCTGGAACTCGCTCTGTAGACCAGGCTGACCTCAAACTCACAGAGATCTGCCTGGCTCTGCCTCCCAAGTACTGGGATTAAAGGCGTGCACCACCGTCACCTGGCTAGTATTTCAGCTTTTTAAAAAATGAGTTTTTTAAGCTGTCAAAAAAATTAGTTACAAAGAATAAATTCAGGCCAAGTGCACTTGTGGTGTCAGCTACTCAGGAGGCTGAGGCAAGAGTTCCTGACCTGAGTCCAGGAGTTCCAGACCAATATGGGAATTGTAGCAAAAATCTATGTCCAACAAAATAAAAACAAACAAAAAAAAGCATATAGATTTTGAAATAACTGTGCCTAAAAAGCAGTACCCTGCCAGCCACCCAAAATCTCCCCATCGTGTGTTTGGTCCCATTCACTACTTCCTCCCTTTCTGAATATCAGTCATCATTTCTGCTTCCTCGGGGGTCACAGTTTCTTCATTGCCTCTGTACCCCCAAAATGCATCCTCAGTGACAGGCCAGTCCTGCCTTTTTCCAGTTTCATTTCGTTTAAGCTCCTCCATCTCTTTCCTTACAGATTAATGCTAAGGAATTGATAGTTTCCGTAGTCTGGGTTGGCTGACTGCTCACACACAGATCCCATGCTCCAAACAGCTGGGGTCAGAGGCTCGGTCCTCAGCAAGACTGTTGGTGTTTGACGGTGTTTCATATCTTACTACATTTCCATTTGAGATGTTAGCAGCCGACCACACTCAACTCCCAGTGCCTAAAACCTCCCGTATCTTTGATTTTTCTCTCTTCTGTATCCAAATCCAGTCTATCAGCAAATCTTGTGCTTTTCCCTTCCTAATAGTAACAACCCACCGTCATCTTTGTCTGGGCTGTGCAAAGCGAAGTCATTTTCCTCATCTTGTTTTATTTCTAATGACTGTACTTTTAAAAGCCTTCACTGAATAACATCTGTACTTACACAAAACAAGGGGGGCTTCCAAAGTGAAACCCACAAAACAAGTTTCCTTCCAGAGTCTAATCTCATTCCTGTTTCCTACACACTGCTCTCCTCCTGCCTCTAGGCAGGATAAGCTCCTTGAACAAGACTTGGGTTTGAGATTTCCTTTTGTTTTCTCTTCCTTTCCCACTAGGAATGCTCCTTTAGGAATGTGTTATGTAACGAGTCCAGGCATTCATACTTCTCTCCCTGTAGCATGTGTGAGTAGGAGACTTTAACGTGCTCTGTCAGTTCCCATATATCCTAGATACCAAGTGTTTGCATTGTGAATATTAAAAATAGCCTCCAGATGTTCCTCCTAACCTTCTAAGCATGAATTTAAGATAGCTCTCCTTTTCATGCCGGGTGTCCCAATCCGATAGCTAAAGCACACAGGCTGCAGTGGATAGTGGAAGCAGCCATTCCTTTCCATCAGCTTCTTCCAGGACCATTAAACATAAACCAGATATGGGCGCTTAGGCCTGAAATCCCAGCCCTGGAAGACAAGGGCAGGAGCGTGGAGAGCTAGGGCTACCCTGGGTGGCACATTTACTCATATGATCTCTTTCGTGAATTTCTTATCTCACGTACATCCAATTTAATATTTGTCCATATCTGCTGCCCATTAACCATCTGGAGATGCTTTATTCCAAAAGACTGGAGTCTAGGCACCAAGCAGTGAATGATGGAGGCGCTCCCCAAGAACCTGCCAAGAAGTTGGCATTGTCAGGATAAAGCATACTTTAGCAAACTGTGACAAGTTTGATGCTCCTCTCCCCAGCTTGTCCTGCCCTCTAGACACTTGGCATTGACAGTTCACAGCTTCAAATTCTAACCCATCAGAATGGAAAGCCAAGAAGTGCACAATTAACTATGTCTACCTAAAAATGTATGGAGAGGAAAAGTCAGTGCACACAGTATTCTACTTGGTCAGATTATTTAACAATGTGATAATCAGATCATCACATTTCCTCTTTAATATAATCTCTTTGCATTGGTGTAATTTTAAATATATATTTAAATTGTATACACTTTTGATTTAACATAGTTTTTCAAATACACAAAAGCTCTCCTAGATATATGTGCTGTGCAGCACATCTGTAATCACAGTACCTGGGATGCCAAGATACTGCTGTGAGTTCAAGGCCAGCCTGAACCACATTGACCAGCAATGCCCTGCCTTGAGAAACCAAAAAGTTACCTGTTTTTTCAGGTGTAATAGTACATGCCTGTAACTAAGCACTTGGGAAGCATTACTGTCAAAAGTTTGAGGCCAACATAGGCTGCACAGCAAGTGGAAGGTCAGCCTGGGCTACATAGTGAAGTGGAAGGTCAGCCTGGGCTACATAGTGAAGTCCTATCTCAAAAATAAAAAATGACATATAAATTATGTATATATTTTTATACCACAGAGACTGCTTGTAAATGAAAAACAAGTAACTCAGTGTGTTGTACTCAATTTCTCCAGTATTATAAACAGATACATTCTTTTCAAAGCTACGTCTACCATACTCTCTTTATTGACGGAATCACTTATTTATGTGCTACAGACAATGGCTTGGATTCTATGGCACCATCTGCATTTCTTAAAAAAGTAAGTAACTGTCTCTGCTGCTGTGCTGACATTCTAAGCTGCTGAAGTTAGGAGGTCTCTGTCCTACGGGTCATTAGTAATAGTGTCACTAACCAAAAACGGGTTGCTCATCTCCTGCCTGTTTGCAGAGCCCTTACTGACCTCAGGGACTTAGCCCCATTCTTTGTCTGTCTCCTGGTTCCTTAAAGCCCCCACCTCAAAAATACAGTCTACAAAGACCTTCCACTGAGATCTATTAGAACCTCTCCTTTTGCCAAGCGGTGGTGGCACACGCCTTTAATCCCAGCACTCGGGAGGCAGAAGCAGGCGGATGGATCTCTGTGGATTCGAGGCCAACCTGGGCTGCAGTGTGAGTTGCAGGAAAGGCACAAAGCTACACAGAGAAACCCTGTCTCAAAAAGCAAAAAAAGAAAATAAAAAACCCAAGAACCTCTCCTTTTATATTCATTTTCTTTTTAAACTTAAGAAAGAAATTAAATACAATAACACATATAATTCATAAATATGCATAGGGATGTCAGTGACCAAAAAATTTTAGAACAATATTCTAGAGATACTCCTGTTATAGTATATAAATCAATTATTGGAGCTAAATGAAAATAAATATTAATTTGGAGGTTTTTTATTCTTTGGGAATTTCATACATGCATGCAGTGTATTTCAATCATATTCAGTTCCTACCCTCCCCAGCCACTGCTAGATCCCCCAGCACATTACACACAAGAAACAGTGTTTATTTGTTTGTTTGTTTGTTTTTGTTTTTTCGAGACAGGGTTTCCCTGTGTAGCTTTGCGCCTTTCCTGGAACTCAGTCTGTAGACCAGGCTAGCCTCGAACTCACAGAGATCCGCCTGGCTCTGCCTCCCGAGTGCTGAGATTAAAGGCGTGTGCCACCACTGCACAGTGTTTTTAAATTAAGATATATTATCTCTAGGGAAAATGTGAACAGAATGGCCAGCAAATATGCACTATGGCAGAGTGAGATGTCACGCATTTCAGAGGGGCTATAACTGCAGTAGATCCCACCTGTCACTCCATGTCTGAGCTCAGCCAATAGGAGACTTCAGAAAAGGCAGTCTAAAGACAGACGCTAACCACTGTCCTGGGGGTTTCTATGGGAGCTTCTTATTTTTATTTTTTATTTCTTTTTATGTTCATTTTATGTGTGTCAGTCTTTTGCCTGCTTGTACATAAGTGCACCACATGTGTGCCATCCCCATGGAGGTCAGAAGAGGTACAGATCTGCTGGAACTGTAATTACAGATGGTTGTGAGCCACCATGTGGGTGCTAGGAACTAGATGGTCCTCTGCAACAGCAGCAAGTGTTCATAAACACTGAACCATCTCTCTAATCCCTCTTTCTCATTTTTGAACGTAAATGTTCCTAATCTTCAAATTTATATATTACCAAGTATATAAACAAGATAAATATTTTAATAAGAACGTTGACTCCACTAGTTCTACCAGAGCTACTAGTAGTTCTTGTCCCATCACATTTATGAATCATGCACATATTTCATCTCTTCAGCACAGAGTACATTGGCACGGCCCCCATTGTTACTGTGTAGAAAGCTGGAGGGTAGTTCTCTCTGCACTGACAATGGCCAGAGAGGAAAGCATGTACCCGAATTCTTTTCTCTCTGCCCTTTACAACAAAACATCCCAACTTTACCACCCTTCTGAAAACCAGGTGACTCAAAACTGCTAACCAGGTCATGTCTACCAATATTTCTGAGAGGTGTATTATTAAGTACAGACAATTGCCGGGCAGTGGTGGCGCACGCCTTTAATCCCAGCACTCGGGAGGCAGAGCCAGGCAGATCTCTGTGAGTTCGAGGCCAGCCTGGGCTACCAAGTGAGTCCCAGGAAAGGCGCAAAGGTACACAGAGAAACCCTGTCTCGAAAAAAAAAAAAAAAAAAAAAAAAAAAAAAAAAGTACAGACAATTGTCAAGATTCTTTTTCGAGGTGTTGAAACTGTTTATGACTAACATTTGATAGAAAGGCATGGCACTTAGCATGGTTTTGTGATTTCTGAGTTGATTTTGAAGTCAAGGGCAGGAGAGAAAATGATAGCACAATTTGGAAAATGTCACAGGTCTCCCCTTTGCATGTCCTTGGATACCCCAATGGAAGAAGGGAATACCTGCAGTCAGACTCTATGAATCTCTGGTTTGTCCAAAACTCTAGATAAGCCTGTGCCACACACAGTATTCATAACTGCCATGTCTTAAAGTAGAAAAGATGCCCTGACACCAGAAAGCCCCCAACGTTTCCCAAGTTTCTGCCATGTTTTGCTTCGAATGAACATTTACTCTGTTGTTCTCCACTTGGAATTAGCCATACAGGTTACATATTTCCATTAATTTCCCCAGGTTAGTGATATTTTTACAAGAAATCCTTTGATGTCACAAGAACATTTTTTCCCTTCAAACGCACTTGCTACAGATTTTCAACGAATACTAGCACAGCACATGGTATGTACCTCAACTTACATCCTGAGCTCATCGATGCTACTGACCAGTTGGTCGTAAGAGTGGGAGGGAAGGGGGAGAACTGTTGTAGGGTGCAAAGGTTCACGCTTGGGGTGTCTGCAGAGCAGCAGAAAACACAGCTCATGCTACCAGTCATTCACCATTCTTATACACAGCCATTTCAGAAAGAGGGAATAAATACAAACGTATATATTTGCTTATTTTAGTTTAAAAGTAAAAGGATAAACCAGAAAGGCTTAGATGGTTGCCTGGATGGAATTAGGGAGAGAAGGGTTGAGCTGTCAGGGAGGGAAACTAGGCCTCTCGGTAGAAAACCTGTGTCCAGGGCTGGAGAGATGGCTCAGAGGTTAAGAGCACTGGCTGCTCTTCCAGAGGTCCTGAGTTCTATTCCCAGCAACCACATGGTGGCTCACAATCATCTCTAATGGGATCTGATGCCCTCTTCTGACATAACGTTATCATGTAGATAGAGCACTCATATATATAAAATAAATAAATCTGTTTTAAAAATAAAATAAAACCTGTGTCAAAAACTTGACTTTTTTTTTAAAGATTTATTTATTTATTATGTACACAGAAGAGGGCACCAGATCTCATTACAGATGGTTGTGAGCCACCATGTGGGTGCTGGGAATTGAACTCAGGACCTCTGGAAGAACAGCCAGTGTCTTTAACCTCTGAGCCATCTCTCCAGCCCCCCAAAACTTGACTTTTTTAACCATGTGAATATTTTAATTGCCAGGCAGATCTCTGTGAGTTCAAGGCCAGCCTGGTCTACAGAGTGAGTTCCAGGAAAGGCACCAAAGCTACACAGAGAAACCCTGTCTCGAAAAACAACAACAACAAAATACTATTAAATTAAAGTTTTAAAACTTCTCCTTATTTGTGAGATGTCATTAAAGGGCAAGTATTCTAAAATTCCATTTACATAAGATGCCAAGAATAATTAAATTGCTTGAGCTAGGAAGTGAAGTACAACTGCAAAGTAGAGAAGAGAGGGAGGGCAGTTGATGTCTATGTTCGCATGTTCAGTTCAGGAAAAACGAGAAGCTACAGGTGAATGATGATGCCCATCACCTAACAGTAAATGTAGCAATGCCACCAAACCGCACACCTGAAATCATTACAGAGTAGAAGAAGGAAAGGAGAGGAGGAGGAAGGAAAGGGGGATGAAGAAGAAGAAGAAGAGAAGAAGAAAGAAGAGGGGAAGGAGGAGGAGGAGCAACTAATAGTTACCACAGGAATTAGTAACCATCTCTCAGTAACAACCTTACATGTAAATTGCCTCTGCTTAGACAGCCGGACTAGATTTAAAAACTAGGTCCAACTCCCTGTGCTGTCCAGGAAATAGAGCCCACTGGTAAAGACACTCATAGACAGAGGCAATGGATGGGAAGCAATCTGTCAAGCAATTGGAAATTGGAAACAAGCTGGCATAGCTAGTCTGATAAAGCAACTTCAGACCAAATTGGCCAGAAGAGATAAGACCACTGCATATTAATAAAGAGACCAATTCATCATCAGAAGATAGAAGAATTATATATGCACCAAATGTTAGGAGTCCCAATTTTATAAAGTAAATACTAATAGACATAATATAATAATAGTGACTTTGTTACCCACTTTTGTCTCTAAATATGTCATCTAAACTAAAAATTGACAAACCTCAGATGTAACTGCACCATAGATCAAATAGACTTAATAGAAATGTATAGAACATTTCCATCCGACAAACAGAGCACACATTCAACACATGGAACCTTCTCTAAAACACACCATTTTCTAGACCACACATCAACTCTTAACAAATACAAAGCAAGTAATCTCTCACATCTTTCCAGATCACACTGTGACAAAAAAACTACAGAAACAACACAAAGACATGGATATTGAACAATATACTCTTGAATAATCAGTGAAGAAATCATAAAGAAAATCTTCAAGTTCCTAGAAAAAAATCAAAATGAAAGCACAATTACCAGAATCTGTGGGATATAGCTAAGACAACTTTTTAATATTTTTAAATTTTGTTTATTTATTAGTGTTGGGTCTTATGCATGCTAGGCAAGTACTTGACCAGTGAACCAAACTCTAAGGCAATTCGAAGAAGAACACTTATAGCTCTGGGTGCTTACATTGAAAAATCACATCTCAGTGAGAAGGCTCGGCAGAGAAAGGCACGTGCCCGCAAGTCTGATAACCCCACGTTCAATCCCCAGAACTTCCACAGTGGAAGGAGAAAACCTACTCCTTCAAGTCTCCTTCGACCTCCACATGTGTGCCATGGTGCATGCTCTCATACGAAAAAAAAAAATAGTCTAAAACTTGAAAAATGATTTCAAATAAATGACCAATTTACACACATGTGTTTGTAGGTCATGACACTAGAAAGGGCTGTAAGGAAAGAGGAAAATATCTTAATGGAAAGGGTAATTAAATGATAGGAAAGCAAGTCAGAAAGGGGGACTCTGGAGGGCAGGAGGAGAAAGAGAAGCAGCGGAGGCGGGGAAGGGGAGACGAGAGTATAATGCCGCATGTGTGAAGATGTGATGATGAAGCCCAACTTTGGATGCTGGGAACCCAAAACAGTGACTAAAAAATAAAATTCAAAACAAAGGCAGAAGGGAAACAAGCTATTCCTCAGTTTATAAATGTGGTGAGTCAGCCTCATCACCAGGTCAGGTAATGCTGGCAGCAGTGACATCTCTGTGGGGACAGGAGCCACTCTGCCTGGGGACCTGTCTGCGGAGGGCAAAGGGAGACAGCCAACACAGCGGAGGAGAGGAAGCAAGCGGTACTCTGAGCTATGAAATGACAGTTACAGACTTGTCTGCTCAAAACTCTTTTCTATGCAAAGTCAGTAATGATTTTCCGAAGTCTTGTTTCGGAATAGTTCATGTTGCCATAGTTATTTGAAATCATCGGGTAAAAAACGCATAAGTTATTTTTGATGGAAGTAAGAGAAAAGAAATGACATGGAAGAACTTAAAATACATATTAATAAGTGAAAGAAGTCAATGAAAAGGCAAGCTGGGCAGTAGTGGCGCACACCTTTAATCCCAGCACTCGGGAGGCAGAGGCAGGCGGATCTTTGTGAGTTCGAGGCCAGCCAGGTCTACAGAGAAAGGAAAGGTGCAAAGCTACACAGAAAAACCCTGTCTCGAAAAACAAAAAAAGAAAGAAAAGAAAAGGCTACATTCTCTACTGTTCAGATTATGTGATGCTCCAGAAGTCATCCCACTGCACATGAGTATCTGTCGTTTCCAGGGCTGTGGAGACTAAACAGTAAAAACAATAGGAGGTCAGAGGGTTTTCCTGGCCATAAAACTAATCTGTATGACCTTTAATAATAGATGTATTGGGACTGGAGAGATTGCTCAACAGTTAGGAGCACTTGATGCCCTAGGAGAGGACTCAGGTTCAGTTCCCAGCACCCACATGGCAGCTCACACCTGTCCCTAACTCTAGTTCAGGGTTCCAGTGCCCTCTTCTGGTCTCCAAGAGTACCAGGAAAACACACACAGAGAGAGAGAGAGAGAGAGAGAGAGAGAGAGAGAGAGAGAGAGAGAGAGAGAGAGAGAGAGAGAACACACATCAATGCAGACAAATGCAATAATTAACGTTTTAAATAATGGTTATGTTTGTCCAAACCCATGAGGTGGACACCACTGAGGATGGACTGCCTGACCTGGATGAAAGTGGGTGTCACTGAGAGCACCAGAGGCTTTCTTGCCTCAGAGGAACAGAACTTGGGATACCAGGGTCTGAGGTGACCAAAGGCCACCAGAGCCACTCCAGGCCAATATCTTTCTGGTCCCTTGTCTCCCAAACTTGAAGAATGACTTTAATGGGAGGGTAAGTTTTAGAAAGGAGTTTGTTAGAAGTCGATAGTGAGAGAAGGAAAAGGTGAGGTCAAGAGAAGGAAGCAAGCAGTGTTCCTGGGCACCAGGGGTTGGGCCCAAAAAATGGACTGCCACCGTGGCTGGCTATAGATTAATAAGCCATTCATTTGTTTATTTGTTTGTTTGTTTGTTGTGATTGAGGTGTGGGGTGAGCTGGTCAGTCTAGCTGACCCCCCCACAAGGTGTCCGTGTACCTCTCCATCCCAGGTAACTGAAGTGGAGTTTCGATCATTCCTTCATTTGCACCTTCCAGGCAGCTGGGCATAAGGAGAGAGAGAACAAGAAGCCAGATGAGGAGCTAAAGTCCATAGCACTTAGGGCATTTCTGTCCTCCAGCCAGATCAGAAGACATTCCAGCTTCTGTCCATGGACAAGGAGTGAGGTCCCTGTGCATAAAACTGCCCGACACTCTCTACCTCCAAACTGGACTCTCTGGCTGTCAGCTGTAACAAATGTTCCCCTCCGTGGAGGATGTTGGTAGTAAACGAGGCTGTGCCCTGTAGCAGCAAGGGAGGAATCAGGAAGCTGTATTTTACAGTGAACATGAAATGTCTCTAAAAGCAAAGTGATTAAATAAACCATTTAAAGAAATCACCCATTCCTTGTTGGATGCATTGGTCTCCCCCTCCCTTCTTTGTGTGTGTGTTTTTCTATTTTGCAGGATTAGAACAGGTCGATTTGTGGTGTAGTTGATTCCTTATAAAAATGAGATGTGCCCTTGACAACAATGTGTTTCACTAACACAAGTTATGTTTTTGTTCTACTTCACTTCTGTGCAGATGGAATACAATACAAGTCAAAGAGACAGCAACACAGTGTCCACAGTGAAAAGTCAAGTGACTGATGTAAAGAACATTCTGTTGAGAAACATCGATACAGTTTTAGAAAGAGAAATAGAAACAGTGAGCATCGTCACTGAAGGAGCAGAGGACCCCCAGGCAACGGTAGGCAATTTGCATGTACGTTGACCTCCAGTGTGCAAAACCACAATGTCACTACCCTGGAGACAGCCTGCTCAAAGCAAAGACACACAGGGCTGGTGGGAGACAACACTCTGTAACCAAAAAGAAAGATAATGGAGTGCAATAGAAATACTGAAGAATAATTTCAGGGCTGCAAGCCGGCTCACAGGTAAAGGCACTTGCTGCCAAGCCTGACCACTTGAGTTCTGTCTCCACAACAAAAAGAGTGAAGGAAAAGAGTGAAACAAACTGTCCTGACCCCCAAACTGGCCTGTGCCATGCAGGTGCACATATACATGTACATGCACATACACTAAGTAACCTTTTAAAAACAATAATTGGATAGTAAATGACATTCGGGGATTATTTTTAACTTTTAGGTGTGATAATCATGTATTTATGGTTTTAAAAATCATTTAGAAAAATTCATACTAAAATGTTGTGGCTAAAATTACATAATATTAAAGGCACAAGCCTTTAATCCCAGCACTCGGGAGGCAGAGCCAGGCGGATCTCTGTGAGTTCGAGGCCAGCCTGGTCTTCAGAGCGAGATCCAGGACAGGCACCAAAAAGCACAGAGAAACCCTGTCTCAAAAAAAAAAAAAAAAAAAAAAAAAAAGACATAAAGACATACTCTCTGAGCATTGGCTTCAGGCTAATTGGAGAAAGGGCTGCAAGTGAGGCAGACTTACCCTGCACGGACAACTATCATCTCTGGTGCTGAGTAGGTAGGGCCTCATCACGCCATTCTGTCAACTTTTGCATGTCTCCCAAATTTTGTAATAGTTTAGCAACTAATCTGGACAGTTCCCTTCCAGCATCTTCAACTAATCTTTAGTCATCTTTTCTGGAACGTGGCCACCATGAAAAAGCAAAGTTCACACACACACACACACACACACACACACTGAGCTCTGCTGATTAACTCATTTTTTCCCTTCATCTCATTTTTTTCAATTAGAACTTTTTTAACTTTTATTTATTGGTTGGGGGTGCGGGTGGGTACTCGAAGTACAGAGATGTGTAGTGATCAGGTAACAACTTTCCTGAGTCTCCCTCTACCCTGTAGACTCCAGGGACTTGCCACCAAGCACCTTCTCAGCTAAGCACGCTGGGATCTCCTCTTTGGCCACATAGACAGCCTAGCCTCTGAGTGTGGTTTCTGGCTGCATTCATACTAAAATGGCAGCTTGAGAAGTCACAACAGAGGCCATGTGGCTTGACCCTTCCTCATGACAGCATTTACATGTAGCAGTGTTCCACTTGAAGTTCCTTTGATGAACTAGTTTGTAACCTCAATCAAGATGTGAAAGGGCCTTCCTGCCGGGTCTTCTCATGCACTCCCAACCCTGGCCCCGGGGAACCACACGTCAGTTCTGTGCTCCCACAGTTCTGAACTCTGTCTTCAGGCTTGGCAGCAAGGCCCTCACCTGAGAGCCGTCTCATAGGCCCCAGCATTTTTTATTTTATACTGATGAGATCTTTACCTGTTCTTCTCCAACCTGGTCTTGTAGTTCGATCCTCTTTCTGAAACAGACGGATCCATTTACCGTCTTAAGAAATGCCATTACTTTTCCTAAGCACAATCTTCTTGACCTTTGTCATCTTGATCAACATTAACACTGATTCTATCTTTTTTTGTTTGTTTGTTTGTTTGTTTTTTGTCTTTCGAGACAGGGTTTCTCTGTGTAGTTTTGGAGCCTGTCCTGGATCTCACTCTGTAGACCAGGCTGGGCTCAAACTCACAGAGATTCACCTGGCTCTGCCTCCCCAATGCTGGGATTCTTTTTATTAACTTCCTTCCATTTTCCTGTCACCCTGATCTTTTGCCCTTCCTCATTCTGAGTTTTCTGTATTCTGAGCAGTACTATGTTAATATATATTATATATTATAAATATATCCCTTAGACCTTCTGACAAAATTTTTCTGGGACAGTGATCTATAGATTGTTTTCATCATGTTAACTTTATAAAATGTTCCTGAAAGCTGGGCATGGTGGTGCATGCCTGTGATCTCAGCCTTCAGGAGGTAGAGGTAGGCAGATCTCTGTGAATTCAAGGACAAAGCTCTGTAGAGAGACCTTGTCTCAAAAATCCAAAAATAATTAAATAAGTAAATGAATGAACAAAATATTTCTGAGAATACATTTAAATATATGCATAAATTATATATTATCTTAGAATATCACATATATAATAAAATATACAGAGACAAAAGTTAAAACATGATAAAATGAAATTAAATAAATTTTAAGAAAATAAAAACTTTTACTCATAAAAAATAATGTATTTGATAATGTGATTAATATTATAGCAAGTTAAATATTACTGTTTTTACATCCAAATAAGCAGATCGTGTACTCAGAACAGAAGCATATATGCATATATTCTCGTATTGTATTTGTCTATATTCTTTCTTACCTATATTAATCAGGACCTCGACAGGAATGGTGATATTTGAAATACTCATTTCATTCTAGTGGAATGAATACTCAATTGTTTCCCAATCAGCTGTTGATTTTATATTCAGATTTTGGTTCAATCCATTTACCAGTTTATGATAGCTACTCTGTGCTATTCATTTGCTAGAAATTTTATCAATGTTAAATGTTATCAAATACCTTTTCTACATTGATAATGATTTTTCTTCTTTAATCTAATAATATCATAAAATACTATTTGGATTCAGTGTGTTTGGTTGGATGTCTTCTAAGACTCAATATTTTGTAATTGTGTGGTTATTGTCTCCAAAGATTGTATCTAACCATTGATACAAACTACAAATATTTCCATATTATTTGGTCTGTGTTATTCCCATGGGTAGGTTTATTTTTCATTCCTACCCTTTTATGACTGTAACTAGCTGGAAGCAAATGGCTTGAATACTCCCTACTTGAGGCTTATATACTTAATCAGATATCTACCACAGGCCATAATATTTAATTTATTATTTGTGTGTGTGCACGTTTGTGCACCTGTGCAGAGAAGCCAGAAGGGACCACCAGCTGTCCTCCTCTGTCACTCTCCTCCTAGTCCTTTGAGGCAGGGTCTCTCCCAGAATCTGAGGCTCCCTTTTTCTCAGCTGGATTGGAAGCCAGCAAGCCCCAGGCATCCTATCCCCACCCCCCGCCCTCAGAGCTGGAGTTACAGGGCACGCTGGACAGTGGGGTGGGAGTCAGGACTGCGCAGCAAGTGCTTTTCAGCACGGGGTCGTCTCTCCCACCTCCAGAGCATTCTCAAGTGGAGGCAAATGCCTTAGTATAAAGTCAGCACTCTGAAGTACACGGGAATGACAGTACATTGACAGTGCTGTACACCCATCACCTGTGTCTAGTTCCAAAACGTTCTCACCTCCCCCAAAAGGAGACCTCACCAAATAGTCCCGCCCCAGACCACAGGAGATTGCGTTCTGTCTCTAGTGGCTTACCTGTAGAGCACATTCCATAGAACCTGAATCATACACAAACTTTCCTATTTGTCTTCTGTCACCGGAGTGTTGTAGACTTAAATTTTATTGATGCTGAAGCATGAGTAACTTCTTTACTCCTATGGAAATATATTCCTTAACATTCCATATACCCCATTTGCTTGTCCATTAATGAAACTGATAAACATTTGGGGCTTTGTATGTGTTGTTTTGTTTTGTGGTGCTGGAGTCAAATCCACTTCAAATCAAATCCACATGCTAGGCAAGTGCTGCACCACTGTACTATATATGCAATTCTTGGTTTTTCAAGACAATCTTACCATGTAGCATAGGCTAGCCTCATGCTCAACAATCTTTCTGACTCAGCCTCCCAATTGCTAGGATTATAGTCATATGACATCACATCCTCTATTGTGAATAATGTAACTACTAAATTTATGTACAGGCTCATTTTTTAATACATTTACTGTATATTGTGTATGCATGCGTAACACCGCCATACCTGTGTAGAAGTCAGAGTACAACTCGTGGAAGCTGGTTCTTTCCTTCTAGCATAGGGGTATGGGGATCAAATTCATGTTGTCAGACTTGGGGGCAAGCACCTTCACCTTCTGAACCATCTAGCTGGCCCCACAGGTTCATTTTCTTTTCAATAAAACTTTTTTCAAAATTAAAAACATTTTTCAAATTGTCTTTTTAAGGCATGGTCTCTCTATGTAGCCCTAGTTGTCTTGAATGAAACCCACTGTGTAGGCCAGGCTGGCCACAAACTCACAGAGATCTGCTTGCCTGCCTGCCTGTTTCCAGAGTGCTGGGATTAAAGGCATGCACCACTATACTTGGCTGCCAATTCAATTTTCCATATACATGGGAATCAAATTGCTAGATCATGTGGTAATTGCTTAACTACCTAAAGAACTGCCCAACCATTTTCTACAGTAACTGAATCATCTCAGCCTCCTGCCGTATCACTTCAACATTTGCTTCCTATTATTACTACTGGTGTTGCTACTGTAGTGACTATGATGCCTTGTGTTATTTCAAATTTCCTTAATGACAACAGTGTTAAGTGCCTTTTTATAGGCTTGCTACCATTCTGTGTGTCAAGATTACATAAATCATTGTTCAAGTTCTTTGTTTGGAATCACATTGTTTTTGAGGCAGGGTAGACTTTTAATGTACATTTTTAATTCATTGGCCTTCAATCTTCTTTTCTATTGTTTGGGCCCAAAAGTCAACATCGTATCCAATCTTTCAATGCTCCCCAAAGAGATGTATCCCAAATGAGTGCAGATTTACTTTTAAAAGAAGAATGAAAATACCAGCATAGAAGGTAGCTGATGAAACAGAAAGGGCCCACGGTCTAGGTGGAAGGAGTTCAGCCTAGAGTAATGGAGGTGGGAATCCGAGACCTGAAGAGGAGGCTGGATGGGCCGTCCTTCTATCTCTACTTGCAAACCTGCCAACAGTTGCCTGCTGACTGCAACCAGTACCCACAAAGCACGACTGCCGTTCTGTATTCCATCCTTTCCTTCTACGGGGACAGGTTCAGTAGGCACTTGGTGTTCAAAGCTGTCACAGATGATTTTAGGGAATACTTGCCCTACATGGGTCTTCATATCATCTGTACATTATGTCCACGTGCTTTTATAGTTTTGTATAATGACTACAGCTCCTATTTTTTTAAATGGCCTGTTGTTAATTATGTTATGTGTGGTGTCTATGCACGAGTACAAGCACCCAAGGCAGCCAGAAGAGGGGTCAGATAACCCTGGAGTCACAACCAGTTGTGTGCTGCCTCATATGGGTGCTGGGATCCAAATTTGGGCCCTCTGCAAGGAGTGCTCTTAACCACTGAGCCATCAGTCCAGCCCATGCTGTCTCATCTTGTACCACTCAGGGTTTAAGAGGACTAGTAGCTGATGTAGCTACATGCCTCAGAACTTGGAGAGTTTTAACTCCACAGAGATTTGCTTTTCGTTGTATGAAAGTCTAAGGTGAGCTTTCTGTGAACAGCCTTGGCAGTCCAGGCTCTCTATCTGCTGTGACTGTCAGTGCCTTGAGCGTGGGAATCTTTCACTTTCATGGGGCAATTTGTTCAACAGTGAGTGAAGACATCTTTGCTTATTAGCCACTTCAGCCCAAAAGTGGGAGCATGGCTTTATTCATCTCTGACTGGTAAGACCTACTTTCCTGTCTCTCTGTAGATATGCAGCATGTGTCAGAGAGAGGAGCCTGAGATGGAGTCTGGGACTGGAGGTCTCTTGGCAGCCACAGCTGTGTGTGATGGAACCTGCACTGTGGACAGGAACTGTCAGGCCAGCTCTTGACATCTACAACCAAAGAAACCCTGAAGAAAATAGTCCAAGTAGATGGAACATGAGAGCAGATGAAAAGCCCAAGTTTCAGGAATAGATGCTTTTTCTAAAGTGACCACTTTTTTGGTTACTTGAAGGCAGTCACTTGAAGTAAATATTGAGTGCAGCATTGTTGGTGAGAAGTAGTTGGATTCTGGATACATCTGTAAGGTGTTAAAACCTAGTGTTAAAACTGCTAAAATCCTGAAGATGAGGTGAGAAAGCAAGCCCAGGGAATCTGGGTGCTTTGGCCCTTGTTCACACAAGGGCTGGAAACTGCTCTCCTCCTGAGTCAAGGAGCAGCATGGAGTGAGCTTTCACTGTTCCCAGGCTCCAGCTCTTATGCTTTCTTCCTTTCAAATCCAGCCATATAATTAAATTGACTGTTATATCTAGCATTTCTAGGTGATAGTACTTGGAAAGATTACAGGAATACTTAACCCATCATACCCACGGGGCTCTCCTATGGCAAACGAGGTGGCACCTGACCCAGAAAACATGGGCACAAAAGCATTTCCCCCGAGATTTCCTTTTACCTTGCTGTCTTACCTTACAATGCCGACTTCATGTACACATCTCCGCTGCAAGGAAAAAAACATCCTCTTTCTGAAGTTAAATAGAAAAGGTTGTCCAGAAAAATGGAGAATTTCATTGCCATGGCTGTTGAAAGACAAGAACTCACTACAGACCCAGTCTGATTTTGCACTCACTCTGCCTCGGCCTCCCAAGGACAGATATTACAGGCATGCACATCTTGTCCAGGCAAAAGATGAAATTAGGCTGCCATGCTTTATCATACCACCTGGATAGCAGACTCATTCTCACAAAGTTCTGCTTTGCTGCCTATACAAGGATTGTCTCTTCTTGTCTTTCTATAGATTCCACTGAATGGTCTTTAAATAAAAATAACTTTGAGCCGGGTGTGGTGACACGCGCCTTATAATCTCAGCACTTGGGAGGCAGAGGCAGGCAGATCTCTGAATTCAAGGCCAGCCTGGTCTACAGAGTGAGTTCCAATCCAACCAGTTCTAGTTATGCCATCTTCTTCTGACCACTGAGGACTCCAGGCACACGTGCCAACAAAGCATGCACATGCATAAAATAAATCTGAAAGAAAAAAATTTAAACAATAACTGAAAAGCAATGTGAGACCAGGGCTATGGCTCAGTAGTTAAGAACATGGCTGCTCTTCAGAAGGACCCAGAGTTCAATTCTCAGCACCTCCCATGACAGCTTTCAACCATCAGCAGCAGAGACCAAGTCTAATCTTCAAATGGCTCACCTTTAACGACCTTTCAATAGCTAGTGCCACCTTCCAAAGACACCTCCAGGCTTCCAAAATAGCTCACTAGCTGAGGAACAACTGTTCAAAAGACTAATATAGAGGACATTGCAGATTCAAATCCTAACAATCTCCAATTATGAAAATGGCTAGTAAGTAACAAATTCTCACAGGGTAGTCATCTTAGATGTGCCATGTTCCCTTCCTCAGTAAATCCTCACAGTCTGGGGCACTGCACAGCAGACCTCATTTTCTCCATTTAAATTGTCATGAATCTGGTAAACATTTAGCCTACTGTATGCCATGCATTGTCCCAAGAATGCATGCCATAATGCCTTCTCCTATCTAACATCATATGACATTTACTTATTAACTAGAAATAAAGAATTGAGAACATGGGGGCTGGAGAGATGGCTCAGCAGTTAACAGTGCTTGCAGCTCTTCCAGAGGGTTCCAGCACCTGTAACTTCAGCTCCAGGCAATTCAATGCCACACACAAATAAATCTTTAAAAATAATTGAGAGCAAGGTGTCTAGAACAAAAATGTGGTAGAACTTTAAACTTGGTTATAAGGAATCCTTTCAGTAAAACCACAAGGAAAAGGAAAATGAGAAAACTCGCTCAAGGTCCCAATGTTAAGTCCCAGCTCGGCACAGGCACCTAGAACGGAGGTGCTTCACTTTACAAATCCGCTGGGTCCTAAGGACTGCTTCTGGAATTAGTTCAAACTAAACTATCAAATAGCCTTCGTAAGTATTTGAGTGTGCCATTAAGTTCAGAAATAGACAGAAAAAGAAGTCTAAGTTTGTATTTATTTTTATTTCAGGCTGAAGAATTTGAAAAAACAAGGAAGATTCCCAAGAGGATATGTTGGAAATGCTTCAAGATTGTAATTACCACCCTTACAATTCTCCTTTCAATCATTATCATTCTTTTAAGAACACACATAATACCCACCTGACCCTTCCTCCCCCCAAAGTACCAATAAATTGTTACATGGAATTAGAGTTCTGCATCCAGCAATAAATTGTTACATGGAATTAGAGTTCTGCATCCAGTAATAAATTGTTATATGGAATTAGAGTTCTGCATCCAGCAATGAATTGTTACATGGAATTAGAGTTCTGCATCCAGTAATTCTGAAGTCCCCTTGCACTACAGAACTGGAGGAAAGGATGACCGTTTCCTGACCTCTGGCATCTTCCGACTCTGTTCTGTCTCTGCACCTCCATTTCACCAACACAGCTTCTCTGCTGTTGCCCTCCTTCCTTGGGTTCCCTCACCTTGCAGACTGAGTGACCTGCACACCTTTAACCCTAGCACTCAGGAGGCTCAGGTGGGCAGATCTGAGGTCCAGGCCTATACCAAGAGTCTAGCTCAAACAAGAGACAACACTCAGAAGGCTGAAGCAGGACTGCTGTGAGTTCAAGGCTACCCTAAATTACAGTGTGGTCCAGGTACAGTGGTGAGAACTTGTTTTAAAAAGCACAAATTCTGTAATTATACTCCTGAAGCTCAGCTCAGCTCTGCCACTATCACTTATGTGTCTCAGGGACAAGTTACACCATGTCCTGTTCCTCATCTGGTACTTGGTACTGACTGAATACACATTTCCCACAGAGTAATCAAAGTCTTATCTATTAATAGTGGTTACTGAACTAATGCCATTAGAAATAAGATTTTTTTTTCTGGTTTTTCGAGACAAGTGTTTCTCTGTGTAGCTTTGCGCCTTTCCTGGAACTCACTTTGGAGACCAGGCTGGCCTCGAACTCACAGAGATCCACCTGCCTCTGCCTCCCGAGTGCTGGGATTAAAGGTGTGCACCACCACTGCCCGGCAGAAATAAGAATTTTAACATAAGCATACAGCCTTGTCTTCCATGTTTCATTTGAAATGCAAGTTCAAACCAGTTTTATAGGAGGCAATTCCTTGTGTAGGGACCAAACCAACTGGTAAGCCATATTCTATCAAGTCACAGGCTGCGCCCTGTCTTAGCACCGGACAGCCCTTTGTCACCAAGACTTCTGACAGAGTACCCAGCACTGCGCTGCAGTGACTAACAGCAGTGGGAACCAAGGTCTTCTTCCTTTAACATTTATTCCCGTGTATCTGTTTGTGTGCATATGCCAGTGTGCCTATGAAGGTCAAGGGACAGCTCTGAGCTGTCTCACCAACTCAAGTTCTTAGAAGTTTTAAAAATCAGTTAACTAACTGCCTATAAGTACATCTCTTGGAAGCCTGGGGCAGATTTGTTCTTTGAGGCCAGCCTAGGCTACATAGTGTCTCAAAGAAAAAGAAAATAGAAAATAAACCAGGGCATGGTGGTACATGCCCTTAGTCCCAGCACTTAGGAGGCAGAGGCAGGTGATCTCTGAGCTAGAGGCCAGCCAGGGCCACATAGAGACAAAAAAAAAAAAAAAAAAAAAAAAAAAAAAAAAAAAAAAAAAAAAAAAAAAAAAATACAAATTAAAATGGACTGATCGGAAACCACACCAGCTGATGCTTGAAAGAGCTGTGGTAATGAACAGTCGTCAACATTTTTAGATTAGAAAAAAAGGCCAACCTAAAGACAGTATCACAGAGCTTCAAAGTTATATTTACTGAATCAGATACTCACTGATAATATAGTCCATTGAATTATGAGTGTTTTGTCTGATCCCTTAATTGTGGAGCAGACAGGATAATCATTTTTAGGCAAAAGAATTTGAATAGTAAGGAAAATTGTCACATCTCACTGATACTATTTTTTAATCCATATAAAACTGGCCTAACAACTTGGTGGTTATAATTCTATATATAAAACACATGTATTCTAAGAGTACATATTAGCATAATTACTAAAAAGTTAAGCACTATAACATCACCTAACCTAGCTCCCTCATCTTACATAACAGAAAGCCAAGAACCAAAAGCCTCAAAGAATCCTGAGTCCTTTGGGAGGTAGGGGGTAGGGATCAAACCCAGGACCTCACACATACTAAGGCAAATGCTATCCCCCAGCTACAGAGGCCCAGTCTTGAATTTTGAGCGCATTGCCATTGAATAGCACAGTGAAAGCACAGGCTGTTGCTCTTGGCTCCAGGCTGAAGGAGTCTCCATGCTTCCGTCCTTCCTAGTCTTGAGACGAACTGAAGGGTTTTTCAGAGATTGTGAATGCACAAGTTGAAGAAAGCTTCCTGGAGGGAGGAGAGCAGTTGTTCAGAAATGACTCCCTGGTCTCTGCACTTAGGCTGAGGAAGTACAGTGGAATCACAGGCATCTCTCGTTCATTTAGGTTTTCCAACTGGCTATAACCCAGCGCTGTACCACACAGCTCACATGAGTTACCACAGAGGAATTGTGTCAGAAACAGAATGACGTCTGTACACACAAGTAGCAGTAATGCTACAGAAGTTAAAGGAAGTCAGAGAAATAACAGCTCCAACAGTATCTACACATGAAGCATACTGCACAGCAAAGAATAAATTCAAGAAATGGCCAAGACAGGCATAAGTCACTAGATGAGTTACAAGGGAGTTAGGATTTGAATCCTCCAAGTTCCATTTGTATCAACAGTCAGAAGCAGCCAAGTTCAGCACACAACATGCTGGTAATTAGATTCTTCATCTTCCCAACAACTGAGATCATTTCCATTGTACACCCAAGACGACTGAAGCCCAAGTTGTCATGTTGAGTCCCTTGAGCTAGTAAAAGGAAGGAAATCAACACTAAAGGCTGCTGGAGGTGTAGCAGGCTTTGTTGAACACAATCATGCAGTCGCTCGGTCTACAACACAGCCCTAGCTTTTGGTTCTCTTTATTTCTAACTCCCTATTGCCCTCTCCACCTCTACCCTCTAAATACCAGTTCTCCAACTCTCAGTTACTACAGCCATTGGATACTATATAAGCACTTCAAATTTTGCATTCCCTAACTCAACCCTACCTTCCTTTCTTCACAAAGCTCAATTTTACTGTATTTCTAGTTTCAGTAATCTGCAACCATAACAATCTTGAACTCTTCCAATTTATCAGCAAAACTACAAGACTCCTTTGTCAAAGTTAGACGTCTAAGTTTCATAACTCAGGGAACCCCAGACCGACAGAAACAAGAGATCCTTCCAGAGGGCCCCGCTACATATCCCTCTCTTCTGTGCCCAGCATTTATCAGCTACTTCCTCATTTATAAACTAAAGAGATACACACAGCAGATATGAAGCTTGGTTCCCAAGCGTCAGCATTAGAATCAGAAATCTTAAGACAGGGTTTCGCTATGCTGCCCTGGCAGGCCTTGAACTCAGGTTATCCAAGATGGGATTAAAGGAATATGCCACCTCCAGTCTAGATTCAGAAATCTTACCAGGCACCTCGTCTCTACCTCTGAAAATACTGTCAATCTGGGATAAGACCCTCTGTATGTTTATAGCTTCATGAGGCAAAAAAGTGCTAACTTCAAAGTATTTAAACATGCCTCAATTATGCCCACAGGCAAGGAAGTTACTATAATTTTATAGATGGAAAAATGGATGTTTGGAGAAGTTTGCCCAGCATCAGTAGGCAAACAGCAAGATTAGCACAGGATTTGTTTGCAATCATCTGTCCCATTCAATGTATTAAACTGCAAACTTGACAATCTGCTAAACAGAAAGCACCATTCAATGCAACACGTTCAGAACTCCTAAGACTCTTGAAAAATTCATTTTGTGTGAATTATGGCAAAACCCATTTAATTCTACTTTTTTTCGTTTTGAAGAATAGACTAGTTTCAAACAGGTTATTTGTTAAACCAACAACGTGACCTGGCAAGATCAACACTAATCATAACCCACATTCCTCTAACAGTGGTTCTCAACATTCCTAACGCTTTGACCCTTTCATACAGTTCATGTTGTGGTGACCCCCAACCACAAAATTCTCATTGCTACTTCCTAACTAATTTTGCTAGCTGTGAATCATAAACATCTGCTTCCCGACGGTCTTACAACCTTCCTGTTACAGGGCAGTTGATTATCTCTACCACCACTGCCACCCACCCCATCCCAAGAGGTGGCAGCCCACACGCTGAGAACCGCTGCTCTAAAAGAACAAGTTGGTACAAGCCTGCAATCCCGATGCTTGGGAGAGGTTGAGGCAGGACAGGCTCAAGCTCAGGGCAGCCGACTAGGAATGACATACCACACCCAATATCAAAGACAAAACTGAAAACAAGACAGAGAGAAATGCAAGTGCCCTTCTGTTTCCTGTATTTACACTACTGGGAAGACCTTCTTCAATGCTGCTGCCATTAAACATCTAATCCAATTGGCTCTTTTCTAAAAATAATAGTGGTCTCATCACATCTGGCAACACACAGCCGAAGAGCAAACTCTTTCATACATAATCTCACCACCCTCATGAGTGATCTGGGGAAAAACTGGAACAGCCTTTTTCTATCTGATTCTTCAACTTAGTTTCTGACCACCTGCATATAAACACTAATTTTCAAATGATCCATTATTTAAAGTTTTTTGTGACGTTTAACCATTACAGTTCTCTTACCTTCTCAACTAAAAATAAGGTCTTTATTTAAAGACATTCATCCAGAATAGCCTAAACTGGGGGGGTAAAAAAGACAGTGCAAAACATGCATGAGTGCTATAAAAGTTTAATTGTAAGACAAAAGCACTACATTATAAACATTAAGTGATCTTTCAGAAAATAAAATTTAGTGCAAATTAAAACCCCATGAAAGCCCACTGTAAGCTTCATCTGAAGAGTGTAAGGAAGCCTCTACAATGGAAACAGTCCCAATGGAATTGGTCTGGGAAGAGTAAGTTCTGAAAATGGTAAACGGTACAGAGAACATCTTATAATTTAAAATGAAGTCAACCAAGTACTAAAAAAGACATGCTGATAGGTCTTAATACATAAACCTGATTGGCAGTAGCATGCTTTATAAATCAGTGATTGTAGAAGTAATTTACAAGTTTCTGTTTCCAAGTTTTATTTATTGATTTAGCCATCTCTAATATTCAAAAGGCCACCTTCCAA